GCTGGAAACAGCAAATGTTTGGTGAGTTTGTTTGATAAAATGACTCAAAGCTAATCATTTCTAGCCAAATGTCCTCACACTACATCTCAAAACTCACTTTTGTCTCCAATCCAAATGAAGGATGATAGTGACTCTGTCCGGGCCACCACTCAGGTGTCCTCTGTCACAAGGTTGAGATTACAAACAAAGCAGCATGTAAAACTCACAGGCCATGCAAAGCTGAGTTTTAAAGTCCTCAGTCTACGGCAACGAAACAAAATACCCTGGACACAGTGTCACCGCAGCATCCCCGAGGTTCACTGAAGACAACTCTAACACATGAAAAGAAGACATGGATGCTTGATCTCAAACTTCAAAGAAACACACAGTGAAAACAGCTCAGTTTTTGAAGCAAGCTAACCTGCCATTTATCCCACATCAGCACATTAAAAAGCAGAGAGCAGCACTTTAAAACAACCGACCTGTGACTCTCTCGGCTGGTTCACTGCTGTGAAGCTTTGTATCTCAGACGTCCACTACTTGTGTATTTCCTTCTCCTTTCACTCCTCAACTGCTGCCACCGGTGCTTTTGAGTAGACAGGGGAAGTAGGAGGAGTCCCACCCCTCCCATTTAACTCCTGTCAGCCAATGACGCAGCAGCATTCACCTCCACCTGGCAGGTACGAGCTCTCTCTCTCCCCCCTCTCCCTCCCCGTCACAATCTAGTGTGAGTGCAGGAGCAAGCTGGAGCTATGGTCGAGACGGAAAGGGTAACGCCCGCGATTGAAACTAACATGGCAGACGCAGGCAGGGAGAGGGGAAGGAAGAGAGGAGTAATGAGAGGGAGGAAAGAGAGGGAGAGAGAGGGGGAGAGGAAGACTGGAGGGAGGGAGGACTGAGGGGGAGAGGATGAGGGAGGAGGAGGGGGGAATCCCACACTGGATTCCTGAACCTGAGTGCAACTGCAGACTCCCTTTTCACAAGGTCAAGACTTTAGAGGATGGTGACTCATTCTGAAATCCGGATGCAACCAACTGAAGCAGGAAGAAAAGGGGGGTTGGGGGGGGGGTCAGAGAGAGAAATCAGATGCTGATAAGAGTTTAAAAAAGTTGTGTTTATAAAAGACACAAAGATAAATATCTACCTAACCAGTGTAACAATGAGATCAAGTCTTAAGACAATATCACAGGCCCACATGTACAATGAAACAGGTTTTGCTTGAGTCCTTAAAAGATCCACAGTTCCAAAATCGATCAAAAGTGAAAGAGAAAAAGTATTTTTTTAATATATTTCCTCTTTTTCTTGCTCTCCTTCCACTGAAACACTGTAGAGACACAAAGATGTTGAACTGTTGTACTAAAAGGTCTGTTAACTGTGGAAGAAACAACAAACTCCTTCAGATCAACTGGTTCAATGTAAACACAGACATGTGAGTATGATGACGCACTTGAAAAAATGTAAATCTGTCTCTTTAAAAGATCGCTGCAGACATGTTTTTAAGACATATAGTGCTTTAGGGCTGCGGGATATGGTAAAAACTAAAGAGCATAATGTGATTATTTTGACAAATATCACGACATGATTCGGGATCAGAGGGAATGATCACTGTGGATATCACAATTTTAATTTACACTGAAAAAAAAAACACTCAAAAAACTATGATAAAATCAAGATTATGTGAGATTTGTTGAGGTTTGTACCAAACACAAACAAACATGTTTTCTTTCATCTGGAGAACAAGATTTGTATCTCTGTAGCACCACAGTGTCTCATTATAACGCTGTTGGTCACATATTTTACCTTATACGGATTATTGCAATAAATAGCCTTTGTCCTGCTTGGAACAACAATGTGTGTCTGATGTTTTATTCACATTAAAATCCTTCAATGGCTTCTACTCTTTCTATGATTAACAATTATCCCGAGTGTTTTTATCGCAATACGCAATAATATCGTCCCTAATTCAGCTGCCACTTATATTAAATATCTGCATTAAGCCTGTTTCTACACTGTTTCTGCTGCAACTAAATATTGTTTTCATTACTGATTCTTTTTCTCAATTACCTGATTTAATTGATTTATTTTTGTCTTTAAAACATCACAAAATAGTGAAAAATCCCCATCACAGTTTCCTAGAGACGTCATGATGTGACTCCTTCTGTGTGTAGCAGTAAACTCACATATGAGACGTTAAAACCATCAAATATTTGGAATTTCTGCTTGAAAAATGACTTAAATTGATCATCAAATAGTTGCAGATTATTTTTGTGTTTCAGAATTTCCCTTTACAAACACGTCTGAGGCCCTCTGGGGTAATTAGACTCCAGCTCTGCGGTGGCCTCAAAGACTTTCCATCAGTGTCATGTCTCTAACAGCAAGTCCGTCTAATCCCAAACACATGATGGCTGTGATTCTTTCGCTGTGGAGAGGGATCGGACGTCCTCATATCACCTTAGAAATTCCCAACCAATTGTACTCAGGATTCCTGAGAAATTAAAGCAAAGCTGCACAAGTTGGTTTCATTTTCAGCTTCAGTATTTTGGCTGCTGGGAGACGTGGACGTCAGCAGGGTTTGATTTCTCTTTCTTTTCTCAAAATATCAGCAGCACTCAAACAGAGAGGGGAGAGAGTCAGTAAAGAGAAATGGTTTCCAGACATCCAGTATCACTTAAACTCTTAAAGCTGCAACAATTAGTCTGCAACCACTTTGATCATCAACTAATCTCCATATAAACAGTAGCTCTGTTCTGTATGTAGTTGAGTTCTTACATTATCTCAAATGTTTCCAACAATGTTCACACTCAGAGAAATGTGCCTGCGTCAGCGTTGTGGTTGTATCTGGCAGAAGCTGTCATCGACTTTTTATCCAGTTTTTACCATCCACTGTTTAGATCTTGGTCGTTTGTTTTAGTCATCAGACATCTGGAATCTTAAGTTAGCAGAGAAACAAGCTGAGCTAATGTTAGCTGGTCCGACAATAAAATAAAAATATATTTATTTATTTATTTATTTATTTTTTTTATAAAATATATATATATATATATATATACCTCAAGACAGTAAAGAGCCACAGAACCCATCGCCACTAATTGGAAAAAGGCAACAATCCAATGAGAATAAAATTGATTGTTCCATGTAACCTTACCAAAAACACTCAGGGTTATGATGCTAAATGTTAGATGTTTGCATCTTCACGACTAGAGACAAGGATGTGAGTCTGGTGACGTGTGACTCACCATTTTGTGCGGGAAATTACAACGATTGGATTTAATTTGTGAAAAAGTTGTGGCGATTTGACTAAATTTGAGGGTTACACATGCAGCAGGTCATCAATAACTTTATCCATTTTCATATTAAGCTGCCGACACAGCGAGAGTATTTTTGGTGTGGACAAAAAACAAACTGCAAACTAACTAAAGCTGTCAAAATAAATGTACTAATATTTGCTTCTGAGACGTAATCGAGTGACACAACTGTCATGGTTCAGGCAGGGACACACTCATCAGGGCTC